GTAGTAGTAAGAGCACTACTATATTATATAAGTATTAGACTTTAAGTATAAGAAAGCTCTTTAACTTATAAAAAACTACTAAGTCTAGTAGTCCCTCTAGGGAGAGAGCAGGCGAGGTATAGAATAATCTCTTCTAAGACTAGGAAATTAATTTAGTATAAAAGCACTTAGGCTTAGGAAAGTATTATTACTATTATTATTATTATTATTAGTACTATTATTACTATTACTATTACTAGTACTAGTACTATAATATAATATAATATAATATAATATAGGATTTAACTTAGAGAAAAAAAGAAAGAAGAGAAAGGAGAAGGGAATAAAGATATACTTACTCTAACTAACTCTAACTTACCTAAGCTGCTTTAAACAGATATTATTTATTATTATAGATAAATTATCGTATTATTTACTACTAGTATATTATAATAGCAGTAAGAGACCGCTAGCTATCCGCAGCTAGAATCTCTAAGTAAGTGTTATTAATTAGCTTATTTACTTTAATTTACTTTAATTTACTTACCTAGTTACTACTAAACCTAATTTCAAATACCAGAATATTATAACTAGCTATATAAGTAAGAATTATATTATTTATTATAAGAGAGTATTATAAGTAAAGCGAGGTTTTAATTAAGAGTTAATTAAGCTACGTAAAGCGAAGCTATCTAGTTAGCTTATTTACTTTAATTTACTTAAGGATACCCTATATTCTATATCTTATCACTTTATTACTATTAGAGTCATAAGCTAAGCGCAGCTAATCTGCGATCTGATTAGCTTACTTACTTCTATTTACTTTAACTAGCTGATATCTAATACTTTAAACCTCTAGAATTAAGTAATTCCTACTAGATATATTATAATAAATATACTATTTTATCCCAGGTACTTTATTATCTATAGTTAAATAATACGCGAGTGATCTATTATTAATAATATCCTCCTAATCGCTAGTATTAAATTCTCTACTTAAATCAGTACTTATTACTCCCTCGCGAGTAGTACTATTAAGGTATATTACTACTTTATTCTGCACCTAAGAAGTATAAATATAATTAAAATACTCGACTTAGTTAACTAATAGACCTATACTAACTATACGGATATCCTCTGACTTAAATAAGCTATTTAGTAAGGTCCCTGCCCTTAGTTAAGAGAGACTATCTATTATAAGTCTTATTACTTTATTAAAAATATTATTAGAAGTATTAGTAGATATGTAATTCCCTGGTATATTCTCTCTAAATTAACGCTCTAATATTACTCATATATAACAAATAGTAGTATTAGTAGTATAAATATAGTTAAAAGTAATATCGGTATTATAAGTAGAATTCCGGTAATACTTTATCTTAATCTTAATTACTTTATTTAGATGCTTAAGGCAGAGGTTAGTAGGCTTAAAGCTAGTTCTATAGCCTTCCTAATTAACTAGGCTAGATATAAGTATAGCACGCTAAAGCTCCGGTATATAAACACTATCTTTAAGTAGCTATTAGTAGTAAAGTATCTTATATACGTAGTTAGTTTAATAGGTACTAAGAAAATTAATAATTAAGGGGTTTATATAATAATAAAGTATACTAATATTACTATACTTAACTCCTTACTTAACTATAAGAAATAGTTTAATTTCCTGAAGGTATTAATATATAGTTATAAACCCCGGGTCTCTATACTTAGTACTATTAAGCTATTTACTATCTTATGCTAATCTAGTGAAAGCTTAGAGCTAAATAGACTTAATATACACTAGAAATATATTAAGCGTAAAGCTAGAAAAGATATTATTATAAGCCTTGTGATAGCTAAAGTTAGTCTTAGTATATTTACTATAATAATCTTTTAATAATAATATATAAAGAATAGCTAGTATACGAGCTTTAAAGCTATAGGAGAGAAGTACATCTAGAACGTAGTACTTTAGATTATCCTTAGCTATTATAGTACAGCCCTAAGATATTATATCTCTAAGAATAATATGCTCCTCTTTACTAGTTCTAGGCGCTATTATCTAGTATATACGTATTAGTAATAATATAAGGTTATATTAGATATAGAACTATATACTAATACTAAGATACTAATTATAGCGATTATATATCTTCTCTATATACTATTATTTATCCTTAACTAAGTGAATATAATATATAGTAAGCTGATCTCTATAGAGTAGTTATAGCTAAGACTTAAAATCCTTATCTAGATCTAAGTGTAACTATTATTAGAAGATATTATTATAAACCCTTATAGTACTAGTAAGAGTCTTCTTATTTTCAAATATAGCTCTAAACTAGTAGTATTCTATTTTACAGACTAGAAGAAGATTAAGCTCTGATATAGAAAGAAATAAGCTTATCTTATCTTAGAATATTATTCGGACTATAGTAAGATAGAGATCTCAGATAATATCTACGATTAAGAACCGGGTAATACGCTCCCTAATAGACTATAATAGAGATTAATAATATACTCAATCAGGTAGTAAAAGTAGGACTATATTAAGAGGTAAAGGATAATTAAGACTACTAATCCTAAGGGAAAATATAATATCTTTCTAAGCGAGAGGAACCGTAGGGTTATATATTAATTATATTAGACTTATAATTAGTATCTCTAGGTAAATAATAATCGCAGCTATAGTTATAGCCTCTTAAGTCTTAATATAACTAAGGACCTTATCCTACTTATTATCTTGAAAGTTAATATTATTATAGATAATAATACTCTAGAGGTTATAACTAAGCAGAGGGAGATAAGTCTATAGTATATATTAGTCTTATAGTCTAAGTAGAGAGTATTAATAAACGAAAAGTAAGTTAAAGTAAATAGAAGTAAGTGAGCTAATAGGAAAGTAAAATATAATAGCTAATTAATTAGCTAAACAGTAGAGGTTTATCTGCACCTTTACTTAAGAAGTAAATTAAAGTAAATAAGCTAATAGAAGGACAGGATATAATAAGAACTAAGAACTAGGTAACTAAGAATAAGGATAGTAAGCTTACACTCTCGCTTAAAAAGTAAATTAAAGTAAGTAGGCTAATAAGAGGACTAGATATAGTAGGATACGAGAACTAGATAACTAAGAATAAAGAGCGTAGTAAGCCTGCACTATCGCCTAGAGAGTAAATTAAAGTAAACAAGGTAATAATAGATAAGAGCTTATAATTATAAGAGAATATAAAAGCTAAGAGAATTCAATTATATACTTTAGCAAAGGCCGCGAGTTCTTTTATTATAGTATTTCTAGTCTAGTATAAATAGTATATACCTAGACCTAATAAGATCTTAACTATATAATGTTTTATACTAGATCTAAGAAAGTATAAGTCTAAGTAAAACTATATATAGTTAGATTACTTCTTAGACTATATAAAGAAGAGTATACTAGTTATTATAATAGTAGTGCTTTAAAAAGACCTTAATAAAGCGGTTCAGCTTTAATTATACGTGTTCTATAAAGCACGCTTATTTTAAAGTAATAACTAAAGTAAGGTAGACTAGATAGGCGCTACTTCGTTTATACTTAAGAAACCCCGCTCTATATCTATCCCTTTATCTGTCCCTTAGATATTAAAACGCCTAAAGTACCGAGTCTAATATAAGGCCTTAAATTTCAAGCGTAGTAAATTAAGAGGAATAGAACTAAACACCGGCCTGATATTATCTAAGGTATATTAAAGTATCTTCTAACACTACTTAGCTATACGAATATATTATAAGTGTATCTTATAAGTATAATCGTCTTCTATAATAAAAGTAGTAAGAAACTTCCTAAGAGACTATTTATAGTGCCTAAGAACCTTAAAAACCTGCTCTACTATAGATCCTTTTAAGAGCCTTATTCTACTTAAAGCTCGCTGATATTATATATTCTCTAATCCTCCTTATATAGTATTAGTAGAATTAGAGTTACTATTAAAGTCTCCTTAAGAGTTACTATTAGATTCGCTACTAGAACTTCTATTAGAGCTATTAGTAGAGTCTCTATTAGAGCTATTATTAGAATTATAGTAGAATAGGTAAGGTAGAGTTAATAGTAGGAAAGAAAGCTCGCTAGAGATATTAAATAGACTTAATAGAAGGTTTAAAAGCTCACTAGAGATATAAGGTAGAGGAATCGATAGAAAGTTCGAAAGCTTACTAGAGATATTAAATAGACTTAATAGAAGATTCGAAAGCTCGCTAGAGATATAAGGCCTTATAAGTAGCAGTTATCCTTCACGTAATAGGGGTAAAGATAGTAGTAAGGAGGAGCTACTTATACTAGAAGCGCTATAAGCGGGTATCGTATTTAAGTCGGAATATTACGCGATTTAAGCTATATATAATAAATAAAGCTTAGTATAAATAATAGAGGTTAAAAAGAGCTTTTAAATATACTTTTAATAATTATAATTAGTTGTAGTTAAGAGGTAGAAGTACCGTATTATAGTAAGTAGTTCGATATTAGCTATTCCTTACTAAAAGTATAGCGCAAACTACTAAAATACTACTATTTTCCCTTAGACCCTTTAGTAGGAATTCGTAGGCTCGCCTTATCCCTAGTATCTAATTAGCTTATTTACTTTAATTTACTTTAATTTACACTAACTTACTTACTGAGACACTAAAGACTAGATATCTAAGGCGTGGCACGAATTACTACTAAAGGAGGGTCTGATTTATGAGATAACGTATATGTTCAGACTCTGAAACCTTCATTTGAAGATTGGTCGACCGCACGTGTCGCAGCTCTTGAGCAGCAGAAGCATTATTAAGATCCATGAATTCATGCGCTGTGACGAACTTTTGTTGGAGTACAAAATGGACAGTACGCAGAGGTTGGGAACGGACGAAGACTCAGGGACGTGGAAGTTGACGAGGGGAAAGGAGACGGAGACATGAGGTTTCATCTCAACAAGGATTCGCGTCACGTCTAGTAGCCAGCCTATTGCGGTTAGCGCTGCTCCTGATCACAACATCACGTCTTCCCTTCATCTTTCTTTCTGTCGGAACAACTCCAGCACCGTGCAATTAAGTATCTTCCAACAACTCGCGCTGGTCATCAACAATGTCATTCCCACAAGCCATGATTCCCACTGCTGTCAGGCTGGAGCATGGCGACAGGTTGCCCTCCTCGTGAGGTACATCTCCTCGAGGGGGGTCGCTGAGCCCATGAATGAATTGCTATGTTCTCGGAGCGGGGAGAGAATCTCACGAGCTAAATGGCAGCTCGAGTTTGGTCATGATGGTGTACAAGTGTATACTGAATGGCCAGTCAGCCGTCTGCTACTCTGCTCTCGGTGTGGAGCTTGCTGCCTCACCACACATCTGTCAAGTCTTGCAGGAAGCCTCTGGGGACTGTTCCGCCTGGAATTTCGGGGTTTAGAAACAGACCAGTCATCTCGATTCAATCATGCTATTCTATGCAATGTTCCACGATTCAGAAAGAAAGTCCTACCGTAGTCACATGATATCATTATCATCCAACCATCCATGACATGAGTTCGTGGAGATCAGCGACGTTCATTGTACAAATCTGCATATACCCACAAATCGGAGTATGTATTCCTCAATTCTTGCAACCTGTCCTCCGTGAAGGATTGACCCGGATCCATAAAGATCTCCTGAATGCAGGTTGCCGTCATCCCTCTCACCCGCAAACCTCAAACATTTCTATAGTTGGCGACATTGCTCAGCGGATACATGTCTCATGATGAGAAATTATATTGCTGTGTAGCCGGGAGAATTCTCCTGTACTCAATCATGACGTTTGTTTCTCTCCCATCTGATATATCTCCGGATATTCGGATCTTGTACTACTATCTCTGGCAACACAGACCGATGTCTGCATTGATATAAGACGGGGATGTTCTTTTGGACACAAGTCTCTTTGACACATTTGTTTGATCTCAACGAAACCTTCACAATTTCTTGCGTGGATCCACAATGAAATCGTTCACCTTCTTCGCCTTCGTCAGAAGCGCAAGTGCAATCGTCACCCGATGGGCTCCGTGCTGCTTCCATCTAAGTGCTGCAGGGGCAGTAACAGCCACAGTAGGGCAGCTTGATGATGGTCAGAACCGGATCAATGGACCTCTTGCTCCTGCACAATTCTGTATTACGGACGGTGCCATCACAGATGCACATGGTCGTGGATGCATCATCACTCGTACGTTCCTTATTGAGGTCACGATCACTCGCTAACAAATCCAAGCCGGAGTCACGCAGTATCAATGTGACAGTGGTGTACCGCCTGCATCAGGGTTCAGCATCGGTTGCGATGGAACTGTGGCATACAATGGAAGCCCCACTTTCTGGGAATGTCAGACCGGTGATCATGTAGGTATCTTGACATTGTTCTCAACACGCCAGCTGACTTTCATCAGGGAGAAGCAAACATTTACATCCGTCCCGGCGGAATTAACTGTGGAGAGATAACCCTGAAGGCTGATGGCTGCTTCTCTGGTTGTCCTCCACCAGCTCCACCCACTCCACCTGCCGGCTGTCCTGCCAATCTCAACGGACAATGGGAATTCCCACATCTCATCGTCCCCATCGATTCCACCACACCCACCATACCAGCCGGCACAAGCTACTTCGGCGAAGTCTCCTCCACCATCTCCACCATCTACAACTTCGACATCCCCTCCTCCGACACAGGCAAGACCTGTTCCCTAGTCTTCCTATTCCCAACCCAAGACCAGCTCACAACCTCCTCATTTACATTCAGCGGAAACGGCGGCATCACTTTCTCTCAGCTCGACGGAGTCGCTACAAATAGCACGACATATGCCACCGCGCCTGGAGTCAAGACCTCGTACGGAGTGACGGTTGTGGCGCCCGGGAACGCGTACACTATTGCTACGTTTCCGTGTCCGGCTGGCCAGGCGGTGAGCTATGAGGTGAAGGCTGTGGGGGATACGTATTTGAGGGACTTTCAGGATTAGAATCCGTCGCCTATTGGTGTTTATATCACGAAGTGCTGAATGCCTGGACTTGGTGGGTGTTAATCTTGGGCAGGTTACTGGTATAGTGGTGTCGTTGGGTTGGGTAGTTTGGTTCGGATCATACTGTTCCTGCGTTGGGATTCTGAAGTTTTGCTTTCGGTGTCCGGATTGAGAATTTAATTGCATTCGTTAAGAGACGCGTCCTCTTCCGCTTGATCATGTCATTGTCTTTGTGATCAATACCCCATATTCTACTGTTCTTCATTCTAATCCAATAACAAACTCGCCATTCCTCATTACACCGCAGTGTGCCTTCCCACTCCCCACTCTCAACCATTTTGGCGACATAATCCAAGTGACTGCTCATAGCCTCTTCAGATCCTGCTATTCCCAAACCACAAGATTTTCAAGAACGATACTCCCTTCGCATCCATCAGATGATGACGAAAATCACGTCTTGTGGGATGGGGAGTGCTTATGCCTATATGCCTATGCTTGTTTGTTGCAATCCAGTCTTGATATACTTTGATTTTCTGCACTGGATATTTGATAAGTGGAAGTTTCGAGCCATGGTTGATGATGCTGTTGGCGTCGTTGGTGTGTGGTACTGGTGGGGACCGGGAATTTTCAAAGGTACTTGATGCAGTTGAGACGAAAGATTTTGTGTATAGATTTATAAAATTATGAAACAACGTCTTTATTTTGTCTGCGAGTTATGTTTGCAATGGACAATCATCATTCTGATTATAGTGACAGCCGAAGATCTAAATCTCGGCTAAGCACATCTAAGTAAACAAACAAGACACATGAGGATGTCTGCAAATTCACTCTTGTAACAGTGCCAGGCTCGGAAACATTGACTCGTAATGTGTTTTAAATCAAGCTCATGCCTGTTTTTTTTTTTTTTTTTTTTTTTTTTTTTTTTTTTTTTTTTTTTTGGATATTTCATAGATTCTGAAGATGTGGGATTTCCATGTCCAATCTCCACGTAATTCTGGAAATCCTAAGTTCAGAATCGAAATTTTGGGAGGCAGATTCAGATCTGATTACAAGAAAGATTGATGTTGGACGAGATACTTTCGTCGGCCAACGTCTCGCAACACGCACCATTGTTGGAGCTTCTAAGACTTCTGATTGTTTTGTCTTCTATCACTTTGAGAATGAGCGAAGCTGGGAGAGTGAGAGCAGATGCTCAAGTGTTACGATTTTGTGTAGCATTATATCCTTCAGCATCAACTTGAACCCAAAATTAAGAGTCAAGACCTCTGTCACAGAAATTTGTTTGTGTGTTATCCTCTAGATCAAAAACTAAAATTGCTCTGCATTATTATTCGATTCTCATTGTGAAATTGTCATGGGGGTTTTCTCACAAAACTTAAATACCTCCATGGGCATCCAAGGTTCTGTGGGTTTCAATACTTGGGAGAGAAGACAGTAGCTCTGTAAAGACTGTGATGATTCAAGATGGCAATGAAGTGGCCAGCTCTTCAAAAAATTCAAGTCTCGATTTTATTCCCATTCTCCAAATCAAAATTTCAAATTTGTAAGCTGAGAACAGTGCCCCAAGCTTGGAAGTCTTTATACGACTGGCGAATTTTGTCCTCCTGGTTTCTAATGTCATACGCTCCAAAACTCGAGAGGCCGAACCAGCAATCAAATTCAAAATACCCCAAAAAATCCATTCCGAAGTAGAAGAGAGACTGTAGTCTGAAATATCCTAGGCTTTGAAATCAAGCTAATTACGAGTGACAGGAATGGTCTCTGTAATGCATGAGATGTGTGAAGGTTATGTAGACTGACTTTGGGTTTCGGATATCTACCGGGGAAGGGGATGACGTGTGTGCATGGAGGAAATGGAGAAAATATATGACTTTCTTGCTGAACTCCAAATGTACTACTATCAAAGTGCGGCTCTGCATACGACGAAAGAAATTTAGATCAATGATTTCGAAAGAGAAAGCTAGGTGACGAGCTTCAGCTCTGTGGTGTTCAACGGATCACTGATTCAAGGCGGCGGTTCCGCTACAATCTCGGATGGAACAATATATGGGGAAGTATCACGTCATGTACACGAACTTTGAATGCGGTGACAATGCTTCATGTTATATCCTCCCCAAGAATACATATCATGCTCTATTCTAGGATAACCCTCCATGCAGTGGCATCAACCACAGTGCAAAACACATTCAGGAACTAGTTACATGGTCTCTATTGACCGTGTGCTTCAATATAAACGCCGTTCTCCTTTTCCAACGCCAGAAACTCCGAATATAAACCCTATGAAATGCTTGCTCTTGAATATATAACCCTGAAACGTACTTCACAAATCGCCTTGCCATACTTAGAGAACAAGTCCCAGATCTCGCTTCATCTTGTCTCCTAACACGCTCAGTGTCTGTACTGCAGCGGTCTTCTCAGGACAGGTATTCGGGAAGTCGATAACCGCCGCTCGCAACGCACACTTCGCCATGTCGCCGTAAAACTCCAAGAATTTCTTCTCGTAGCCATCAATCAGTGCAGTCAGGACCAAGACCTGAGTCGTGCATCGTTCCTGGGGTGGTGTGCAAATGAGGATACCCATGGCGTTCCAGTAGTGTGAAGGAGGCCATGGGTTTACGCGTGATTGAGATTTGGTGTAGTTGCGAAGACAGAGGGCGGCATATCCGGCTCCCAGCCCTCTCATACGGTCTTGATGCTCTTGATCCGAGACCCAGCCATTGTCGCCCTTTCTCCACCCGAGTCTTTGCCGGCCTTGCTCTGTTGTCTCGGCCCCGCGGATACCGAACACGACGGGAAGGGAGGTCCTGAATTTGGCCATGATGATGCCGATGAATGATTGCGCGCGCCATAGGAACTTTGGGTGGGAGATGATTGTGTGTGCTACGATGCCGATTGGTTCTGCGATCTTGGGGTTTGTGGATGCCTCGCTAGAGAGTTGGTTGACGATTGCCTTGGTGAAGATGTTGAGGAGGTAGAGGAAGAGGGATGGCATGGTGTCCCCATTGTTTTCCGCTTTTTCGGCTGGTCCTTGTGGTGGATCCAACATGAAATGCTGGGGCTGCATCGGAGCAGAGTTGATTGTGAGGGACTTCTCGAGGAGTTCGCGGATTGCTATGATCTGGAAAGCGCGTTACCAGCTGTATTCCGACATTGTGAGAGCAGAACTTACCTGCTTGCTATTTGAGCCAGCCACATCCGTCAATTGACCCATTGTACGCGTTAAAGTACGTCGCATATCGCCTGCAATGGTTCGGACCGTGATATCTTTCTGTTTGATCGATCCGTCGCGTTGTTTGACTTGTTCAGTCGCAATCGCGACGTTCTGGCCCTGGATGAATGTCCTGAGCTTCTTCAAGTTGCCATGAATTTGGAGTAGGCGATCACTATCCGCGAGGATCTGCAAGCCATTGCTTTGGGATTGAGGAGCTGGTGGCTGTGTCTGAGGTTGTGGTGGTTGGACAACTGGTCCGTTCGAGGCAGTTGGCTGCGGGTTGGGCTGTGGGGTAGGTGTTGGCTGTACAGCAGGAGCCTGTGGTGTGAATTGTGACGGAGCTTGAGGAGCTCGAGCTTGTACTGGTGGTGTAGGTGTCGAAGCTTGTGGGTTGGGAGGAGCCTGCTGAGGTGGTTGTGCCGGAGACTCTTGTTGAGGGGCTGGAGGGGCAATTTGTGGTGGGGGAGTCGGGACTCTTGGTGGAGGTTGTGGTATCTGCTTCCTTCGATTCTCTGCCTCTCGAATCCGAACTGCTTCTGCTGACTTCCTCTCTTCTGCCTCAACCAGTTGCTCCAATTCGTCTGCTCGAAGCCTCAATCTCTCTGCCTCCTCCTCATCCTCCTTGGTCCGCAGAACGTGGATTGCACGCTCTCGTACACTGTCATGGAGCTGCTTCGCATACGCCAGAGCAGCATTATGATACTCCTCCGTGTTGGGACAGTCGAGGAACGAGAGTCGCTCGAAGTTGGGAAGCTCCATGGTGTTCTTGTGGTTGGTGTCACCGTTCAGGGAGGAAGAAGCTGCGGGTGATGGAGCTGCCATGGTTGCGTTGGCGCATTTGGAGAAACGGATTGTGGGCTCACACTCGCCCAGCCGAGTCTCGTTTGTGATGCTATTGTGAGTGACTGGCAATTGTATCTAGCATAGAACAATGCGTGAATCGAGGATGAAGCTAAACCAACCCAAATCGTGGACAATGCGAAAATTCTGCCAGAGGCGGTGTGAGAGCCTGCTCACGTGAAACCTCAAGATGCTCAACCTGCGAACATGAGGAGGGCCTGCTCCCATGATGTGAGAGAGTTCCGGGCATTTTAAAAACGACTGTGGAAATTGACTGCCTTGCTATATCACGTTTCCTTCTGACAAGATGTATACTTAGAGAAATTTTACAGCCGTTCTTATAATCATTCTTTGTTCCTTTCTTCATTTTGAAGATTTCGCTATCAACCCTGGATTATCCACAACAGGTCCTCTGTTGTAGTAAACTCGCGGTCACCTGGATGATGTTGCATGCTTTCGAAGTCAGTCTATCTCTGTCTTCCGCACCATTCCGGCTTCCTTTACTTGTCACATCTTTTTACACTTGACTTGCAGCGAGCTTGGGTCGCTAGGGCTTGTCACCTGGAATGGTCGTTGCTTTGTTGAACTGGAATGAGTTGAGCCTCGCAATTCCAACCTGTTTTCCTTCCCTGCAGCCTGGTTGTCATCATAGTAAAAATTCAGTTTGAATAAGCGCCGAACCTTCTTTTCTATACGAGGATTCCTTGCTCTCGCTGAGCACACTGACAGTGGATCTGAAACACTTTGGGGGCCTGGTTTCAGAGCAGAGGAGAAGGGGAAAGTGGATGAATGAAGATAAGCTCTGTTCAAGTGTAGAGCATGGCGCGAAGACCTCAAGATTTTGGGTTTCCAGGCGAGAAAGTCCGAAAGGAGGGAAAGATGGCCAATATTTAAACGAATGGTGGTTCATCGATTGAATTGACGGTCCTGGGTATGTTCTTGGAGCTCTATCAAAGCTTTGTACAACCATGGTTTCTTTCCGCCTTAGCCTATGGATAGGTTTTGCTCTTGTAAGACGCAGCTGTAATTATTCAACAGAAACCTGACTCAAGGCGGAAAACTAGAGAGGACTGATTTTCGGTGGGACGAGTACGTTTAAAGTCCGAGGACGAAACGAGCTTCCTACTTCAGCTTTCAAGATCATCTACGGACGCACACGTGCAGGAATAAATTTATTCCAATAGGCAGGTGTGCCTTCAAAAGCTCCCGGATTAGAGTCAATTGTGACCATTCCTGCTCACGACATCAACAAAGGAACAGTATTTTCCTTCCTTCGGCAGTTATTGATTCTTGGCAGAGGAAAGGAGGCCTCCTCCGGACGTTAGAGCTCGAAAATGACCAGAATATAAACCTCGCCAACAAAGAGAGCGAGGAATAGAAGTAAACAAAGCTGCAATAGGATTGAACATATATAGAACAGGCTCTTAGATCGCTTCGACTTTCTTCCGAATCAGCTCACAGATGAACTCCTCATAGACACAACAGCACCACCAACCAACCCATGACTGAAGCCCCCCCGTTCCAGACTCCCAGTCGGCAAGCTAACCCGGATACGGGAAGCTTTGCCAAGATGCTGTATCAAAGCTCACAAGAAGCCACAAAGTCCGAAGAGTTGGACTGAACCGAAGATACGAGTAGAGCATGGAAGGGAAGGGATGTAAATATACGATTGACATGAAAATGAAAGGCAAAGGAAATTAGCCACTCGTATCATTGGACTCAACTCTTCACTTCCCTCTCTAGCTATTTTGGGCTTCACTGTCGTCACTCGTCACTCCCAGCTTCCGCAGCCAGGGTGGGTCCTTCCTTTCCCACCAGTGTCCACTGAGTCCAGTGAGATCCCCGGCAGAATCGAGTCGCTAAGCCCAACGAGGAAAGAAGGGCCAAGCCGCCGCAGCAGCGACCCGAACGCACGCCGCCCAAGCGGACCTGCGGACCTCACCTCACAAGACAGGCCGGCCTGCCAAACCAAACCAAACTTGTTCATCAACAACCTCACTTCACTCTCCAACTTCAGCTCCCATCTACCTCACTCTCCTTCCCCCCACTCAACCACATCCTCGAATCCTCGAGAAGCACTCCTTCACCTCTTCTTCCCCTCCTTTGGCTGCCCTCATTTGATCCCGCATCATCACAATCATTTGGATTGCAACAAACCAACTCCCCCAATCTCGCACTTGACGTGCACGTACGTCTTTCTCCTCCACCATGGAGCATCAACAGAATCAACAACAACAACATCCACAACAGCCACCACCCCCTCAGGGTGGTGTGCCTGGTCCGACTGGTCGTCGACTCCACATTGCACATCGCCGAAGCCCTTCAGAGCTGACCCCATTGATGAGCATGTTCTCCAGCCCCGGCAGTAAGTTATGTCTTCTTATTCTTGGTCTTGGAGCTGCGTCATCGAAGCTTCCAACTCTCATCTGCCAATTCATATACTATCAGTCTTCTGACATACATCCTCAATACAGTTGAACAGTTGGCCATTCAACAACAAATCGAGCTCCTTCAACAGCAGCAGCAGCAGATTCAAGCTACCCACCAACAATATGTCAATATGGGAATGATCCCTCCTACCCAACATCTGGCCACTGGCGGATATAATCCTCTTCAACAGCAGATTCCCAACATGGCACAGAACAATTTCCAGTTCCCTAACCAGATGCCACAACAGATGAATGCTCCAATGGGTGCACCAACTCAACCGCTTTCACATCGCCGTAATCAATCGGCACTTCCCAACATGGGCATGGGCCCTCCTCCAGCCCCCTCATCCGGCGCAGCAGGTCCTGGCTTTGGAGACTTTGGTGGACAACACAGAGAGAACAATGCTGGCAGAGGTGGTCGCGGCGGTGGACCACCGGGTGGCGGACATCAGCGTCGTCATTCTCTGGCTTTGCCTGAGGCCAAAAAAGCTGCAGAGCTTGCCCAGCAGAAACGAACAACTTCTGGCTTCCAGTTCCCTATCCCAGGAGCTCCTGGCGAAACAACTGATCGTTCCAATAGTCCAACTGCGGAGGAGAAGCCATCTGCTCCAGCACAAGGTACTGGCCAAAGCACACGTGGCAGAGGTGGCGGACATGGACGAAGCCAGAGCATGGCTGTTAATGGTAGGGGTGGAGCAGCTGTTCGTGGTGGAGGAAATTTCCAGTTCCCTCCTATGCAAGCTACCCCCGATGCTGGCGCTTCTGGACAAGGCAATGACTTCCAGCGACGTGGAAGCAACACTGGTCATAACCGACAATCATCGAGAAACTTTGAAGGTAACTGGAGAAATCAACCTCAAGGCCAAGCCCCTCCCCAGGATCAACATGGTGCTATGGGCAACTTCCAAGGTCAACAACCGCAGGGTGGTTTCCAGCCTGGTCACCGCAATCGTGGATCCATCAACCAGTCAATCAATTCTATTGGTTCTTTCCAATACGGAGGTCAGCCACAAATTGTCCAAATGCCAGGACAGATGATGGTCCCTCAGCAAATGTTCCCTGGACAACAATTGAATCCACTTCAGATCAGCCAGCTCCAAGCTCTCCAAGCTGCCCAGATGGGCGGACAGGTCGGTCTTCAAGGCAGCCATCATGGCCCACAGCTTTCTGCGCAGCAACAGCAACAACAGCGCAAGACACTATTCACTCCTTATCTGCCACAAGCCACCCTCCCCGCTCTTCTTGGCGACGGACAGCTCGTTTCCGGCATCCTTCGGGTCAACAAGAAGAACAGAAGTGATGCCTATGTTACTACACAAGACGGCCTTCTTGACGCAGATATCTTCATTTGTGGAAGCAAGGACCGTAACAGAGCTCTGGAAGGAGATCTCGTTGCTGTCGAGTTACTCGATGTTGACGAAGTTTGGGGTCAGAAGCGCGAGAAGGAAGAGAAGAAGAAGCGCAAGGATATTACTGATACCCGGGGTGGTTCGAACGGAAATGCTGATCGATCCCACCGTGATAACTCCACCAACGGAGATGAGCAACCTACCACTGGAGAAGGTGGTGGTATGCGAAGACGTGGTAGCTTGAGACAGAGGCCAACCCAGAAGAAGAACGACGATGTTGAGGTCGAAGGGCAAAGTCTTCTCCTTGTTGAGGAAGAAGAGGTCAATGACGAGCAGAAGCCACTTTACGCTGGTCACATTGTCGCAGTCGTCGAGCGTGTTGCTGGACAAATGTTCTCTGGAACTCTCGGTCTTCTCCGTCCTAGCAGCCAAGCCACCAAGGAGAAGCAAGAGGCTGAGCGTGCAGCTCGTGATGGAAATTCCGGCCGTCACCAGGAACAGAGACAACAAGACAAGCCAAAAATTGTCTGGTTTAAGCCAACTGAGTAAGTCTCCACATCTTACAAGCAGTCCATTGACATGATGCTTTCTTTACATTCGAGAATGCTGACCTTCTTATAGTAAGCGTGTTCCACTGATCGCAATCCCTACCGAACAAGCCCCTCGTGACTTCGTTGAGAAGCATCAAGACTACGCTGACCGAATTTTTGTTGCTTGCATCAAGAGATGGCCAATCACCTCTCTTCATCCTTTCGGTACTCTCGTTGAGCAACTCGGAAAGATGGGCGAGTTGAAGGTTGAGACAGATGCTCTACTTAGAGACAACAACTTTGCCTCGGACGAGTTTTCCGATGCGGTCACTCGCAGTGTTGGACTTGATGATTGGTCTCTTGAGAAGGAAGATGAGGCTGCTATTGCTGCTCGTCGTGATTTCCGTGACGAAAAGACCTTCACCATTGATCCCAATGGAGCTAATGAACTTGATGATGCCATCCATGTCAAGTCGGAGGTCGATGGAAAGATCGAGATTGGTATCCACATTGCCGATGTTGCTCATTTCATCAAGGCCAACTCTCTGGTGGATCGCGAGGCCCGCAAGAGAGGAACAGCGGTTTATCTGATGAATCGCAGCTGTGCCATGCTGCCACCCAAAATTGCTTCCGAGGTCTGCTCTCTTGTGCCCGGCAAAGATCGCCTTACTGTCAGTGTTGTCTTCAAAGTCAATGCCCACACTGGTATGGTGTCTGAGGAAGATACCTGGATCGGCAAAAGTATTATTAAGAGCGCTGGAAAGTTGACATACAAGGAAGTTGATGCTGTTTTGTCTGGACACCTCGACACGAAGCTTGATGGCGCCGAGGTTAAGGAGATCCAAATCCTTCACGTAAGTCATTTAATTGAGTTTCTGTGAACCGAGCTAATACATTGTAGGCTGTTGCCCAAAAATGGCGAGAAAGGCGTCTCGGCTCTGAAGGGGAGACAATTGCTCCTCTCAGACTCATCTACCAGTTGGATGACGAGAACGTGCCGGTCGAACAGAACATCTTCGACTCTACTCCATCCCATGAGTTGATCGAGGAACTCATGCATAAGGCCAACGCCTATGTTGCACAGAAGATCTTCAAAGGATTGCCCGAGAAGGCACTCTTGCGACGACAAGGCCCACCAAATCCCCGCCGCCTCCAGACATTCGTCGACCGCATGAACAAGATCGGTTACGAAATGGACACCACAAGCAGTGGAACCCTGCAGAACAGTTTGTTTAAGGTTGATGATGCCGAGATCCGAAAGGGCATGGAGACTCTCCTTGTCAAGGCCATGCACCGTGCCAAGTACTACATTGCAGGAAAGACACCAACCCAACTTTACCCACATTACGCGTTGAACCTACCTCTATACACTCATTTCACCAACCCATCGCGCCGATATGCCGATTTGGTTGTTCACCGTCAACTTGAAGCTGTTCTTTCTGAAGGGAAGATCGAGTACAATGAGGATATTGAGACTCTCGTCAAGACTACTGAATCATGTAACACCAAGAAGGACTCATCCCAAAATGCCCAGGAGCAGAGCGTCCACATTGAATCTTGTAGAATCATGGACAGGAAGCGCGAAGAGGTCGGTGGAGAGCTCATCAGTGAAGGTATCGTCCTTGCTGTGTACGACTCTGCCTTCGATATTCTCATCCCGGAATATGGCTTTGAGAAGCGAGTTCACTGCGATCAACTTCCGTTGAAGAAGGCAGAGTTCCGCAAGAACGATCGCATCTTGGAACTGTACTGGGAGAAGGGTGTTCCTTCATCGGCTTATGTTCCAGAGGATGAGCGCCCCAGAGCTGGAGCATCTCAGCGTATGACCAATGCCGCTGCTGCCGCTAAGCAAGCAGCTGTTGCTGAGCGTGCCAAGAAGGAGCACGAGGAGGCTCAACGAAAACAAATGGAGACAGGCACAATGTCCACCGACGATGTCGATGCACTTTTCGATGACGAGGATGACGTCTCTGATGTCGCCGATAGCTTGGCTGGAGTGTCACTGGGAGAGCGCCCGACTCAGAGCGTCCCACCTTCGCCAACGAAGAACTCTCTCACGGCTTCAGACAGTCTCCACCGCACTCGATCCGACTCTAAGGTCCACACTGCGGAGCCAGCTGAGGCCAAACTCAGCCCCAAGGAGAAGTACTTGAAGTTCTTCACTCTTCGTGAGGAGAATGGCGAGTACATTCAAGATGTTAAGGAAATGACAAGAGTGCCAGTGATCTTGAAGACTGACCTTACCAAGAGTCCTCCGTAAGTAGTCCGGATCCATTTGCTTCACATCGCTAACCATTCTGCAGTTGTCTTACCATCCGCTCGCTCAACCCATATGCTCTTTGAGCAACTCTCTTTACTCACAACACTGGTGGAATCATTCTATGATGCCTCTTCGCGTCAAATTTTCAGAAGAATTTTAGTGACATGCACAGATGTTCGAGGGCAGCCTCTGTGTCGAGCAACAAGTCCTCAACGTGCCTAGTTCTTGAGGACGCGAACAAGATAGCATTTGTTTTTCTCGTGAAGAATTTCATCGATGTGGAGGGACGAATGGTCTGGGATTGGATGGCCATTGATATTGGTGATGGGACGGGTGTAGGATGGATGGAAAGGGGTTGTGGAGAGGAGGGATTATAAAAAAGCCAAAACGGAGCGAACAGAGATATATCAACGAGGAGCTCCATGTATTTTCCTTTGCTTTAGCGTGTGCATCTATAGTCCTTAGCGCAAATCACACATTTCCCAGACATGCTACCGGTAACTAAGCAATCAATCAATGCGTGCTGATGTGTGTGTGTGTGTGCATATCCATCCTGACCTGACATGCTGGGCTGCATGAACGCTGGACGGATGTCGAGATGAAAGGAACAGGAAGGTTTGGTTTTGGACGGATGCCGAAGTGGAGTGGAGTGGAGGGGAAGGAAGGGATCTTTGACCTTGAGTTCTTCTTCTTCTCCCGGCCTTGTGTGTGGGCCATTATTTGGCAAAACAACCAATCAAACCCAGCATCCAGTGATTTTTTTCCAAATCAACGATTGGTCCGGAGGAGGAGTAGGAGGGAGGAGGGTGGATGCAGACAGGCTGCTTCAGTTGGGATCGATCTTCACAGGCTGGCTGGGAATGGAAACGGGGCGGGCGGGACCACCAGCCAGGGGTGGAGAGTACGGTACGGTACAGTACAGTACAGTACAGTACAGTATGTACGGTATGTAACTTCGAACTAGGTATATACAGTAGGTATGTAGGAAGGAAGCGAGGAAAAAACTTTATCTGCGATGGATGGGTGGTATGGTATGGTATGGTATGGTATGGATGGTATGCTGAGTTGAGTTGAGTTCATGTGAGTTGAGTGATTCGTTTGCATAAAGTATATCTTGGTTATATCGTTGGGAGGGGTGGGGTGATGTATGTTTTGACATCCATCGCGAGAAAGGAAGTGAAAGAGAGGTGCGAGGTGCAGTAAGGTGAGTGAGTGTGACTTATGCCAGAATCAAAACGAGTGAGAAGGAAAGCCATGCGATTTGAGAGCACACCCACCCACGCACTGTTTTGTTTTGTTTTGTTTTTTCTTTCTTTCTTGTGTTTTTTCACTTGTAGACTTGCAATTAAAGTGGATATCTATCTGTCTGTCTATCTGTCAGGCGGTTTTGGCGTTTGACAGATGGGCTGGGCTGGGCTGGGCTGGGCTGGCTGGCTTTGAGAACGTCAGTACATATAATACAGAGTACGGAATACGGATTACAGAAGTAGGTAATCAAATGCAGGACTGACTCTCCGGTGGGATGCAAATTGAATGAATGAAGGAAGGAAGAAGGGTGATGGCTGAAGACGATGGAACACGAACCGTCAAGGGCGCGACTGGTCTCAAACACTCCCGAGTCTCTTGGCAGGACAGCGGGCCAGCAGGTACAGTAAACACTGGGAGGGAGAGCGCAGTAGAACATCTCTTCCCGAAAGAATGACAGGCCAGAAAAATTATCTGCGCCGGTCCTTCTGCCTTCCGAGTAGTGGTAGTGGTAGTGGTAGTGGTAGTGGTAGCATCACCCATCCTCGTGGGCCGGACGTGGCACGTCTCATTTGTTGACCCTCCCCTTCTGCTTCTGAAGGGTTAGCGAGCGAGCGGCACGCACCCGTCTGAGCCAAGCGGAGCCTCAAACGTCTCTGATACAGGAGGCGAGTGATGGCCCCCCGGGGGTTAGCCCCAGCTACAGCTACTGCCGAGGAGGTCCCTGGAATGTATGACAGTGTGAGCCCCTGGCATGGCGTGGCATACCCTCCGTATGGTACCTTCCGTACTTTCGTACCTATCGCGGGTGGTGTTGGGCGTGGGCCGGCCCTGCACGAGCCTTTTAGCGAGGCTGGAGACAGGCACTGCAGGCATCACAGCAGGCACCGCATCGCAAAGCAATGCAAAGCAAAGCAAAGCAAAGCAAAAAGTGGCACCTCCGAGCGTTATGCCCTGTTCGTGGACAGCGTCGCCGCCGGAACAATTGTGTCCCTGCATATCTTGTATGCATGCATGCATGCAGGTTTTTGGTTTGTCCAGTAGTAAATTACTGTACTGTACTGTACCGTACCGTACCTATGCATGCGTGCGTGCGTGCTTCTGCGGGCAGTCATTCTACAGGCTGTTGTAGTGGTCTTGGGTCGTTGCAGACCCTCTTGGAGACTCTTCTTGGACGTGAGGTCTCTTCAGCGTCTTTCTTCCGCTGAGCAGGTTTTTATATCATCCTTGCCAATATCTTGATTATTATCGCCCTGATACTTCTTGAACCTGCTCCATAGCGGCTGTCCACTGTTGATGCGCGCGCTCCTTCTGCCCAATCCGGACTGTTGAAGAAGGCCCCCCAGTCAAACGTTTATCCCTTCTCATCACCGGCCATTGGCTGTGCTCAGGGACTGCTCCCTGGATGTTCACTGACTGACTGCACAGGCTTTTACCCTGTTTCTCCCCTGTTTCTTCAGTGTTCTCTCACTGGCTGATCGGGACAATCCTCACTGAAGGCTGAGGCTTGCCCCGCTCCTCCTCCTCTCATCAACCCCTACCTACCTGTGCCCCTCCCTCGCTATTCGCTGTTCGCATCATTCCCTCCTTCAAGATTCCCGCTGTCACCATGGTTGACCCGCTCGACCATCTCCTACGGAGACTCTTAGTATTCCTACCAACCAAGCATTAGCCCCCCCTTGAAGAATAACCCCGAGTGCCTTGGCCCTTGAGCCCCCCCGTTCGGATAACCCACCTTCCTGGGGCCAAGCTTTCCCTTAAGGTTGTTACGAGGGTGGATGGATCTTCGTCGGTCGACCTACGTCCCGTGGAAAGAAAAGAGAGCTACGCTAGGCTACGCTACGCTACGCTACAGGGGGGCTCCGTCCGTCTTCGTCGCCGCACTCTTAACACGCCCATCTCCCGATGTTTGAAGAAAAAAACTACCTTTCCTCTCGCCTCATTGCCTTCTTCGATACCCTTTCAAGCGCTGGTTTGCTTTCATATCTCAAAGACAATCGCTTCCACTCATTTGGTTCCATTTACGAAAACAATATACTTCAACAATAATAACCTTTTAATCTCCCCCCTCCTCCTCACTCTCGACATTCTAGTTGTAATTGGCTCAGGCTGGTCCAGTTGAACTCATCTACAACTATCTTCTTCTTCTTCTTCTTCAACGATTATCATCAAATCGACGACGACTTTTTTCGATCAATCGATCAATCAATCAAGCTACTTCATAATGCCTAGCATCAGATCGGTTATGGGTGCGGTGGTGGTGGGATTACTGGCGACTGTGACTGCTCTCCCTGCTGCGCAAAAGATGTCACCATACGAGAGGAGGGCGTACGAGTTCGGTCAGCTGGCACGAAAGCATATGCTCGAGGAGAGACAGAACCCAACAACTGGACTTCCCGATGGATTGACCGATGTTGATATCTTGGAATTGTGCGTTGTCTCTCTCATCAACTTGATTCCATTATGGTTTGATTTTCATGGACTAACACACAACAGCGCTCTCACATTAGAAAACCTCGAGACTGCTTTCTACCAGCAAGGTTTCGCCAAGTTCCCAGACTCTGACTTCGCTGCTCTCGGTCTCGCTCCCCAGGAAATCACCAACCTGAAGTCGATCGGTGGAACTGAGGCTACTCACGTAACGACCCTCACGAGTGCCATTGCTGGAGCCGGAACTGCACCAGTTGCTCCTTGCACGTACAACTTTGCTTTCACGGATGCGAAGTCCATGGTTGCTACTGCCGCAGTATTGGAGAACGTTGGTGTTTCTGCGTATGTATTCCTGATCGTGATTTGGTTTGTTGCAAGAAAGCTAATACAGAACAGATACCTCGCCGCCGCTCCTCTCGTCAAGACCCCCGGAATCCTCACCGTCGCCGCCGAGATCGTCACCGTCGAGGCCAGACATCAAACCTTCATCCGCACCGCCTCAAGAGTCGCCGCCATCCCCTCCGCATTCGACACCCCGCTCGGCATCCGCGCCGTCTTCACCCTCGCCGCCGGATTCATCTCCTCCTGCCCAGCAGGCTCCAACCTCGCCATCACCCCCTTCCCAGCCCTCACCATGACCGCCGGCGCCCCCGCCGGTGCCGTCGCAGCTGGCTCAACCGTGCAGCTCTCATCCACTGCAACCGGCGCCACCGGCTGTGCCTTCGTCAACGGTGGTCTGCCTGGTGGAGCGGCCTTCACCTCCTTCGCCAACGGTGCTTGCACTGTGCCTCCTAACCTTGCTGGTGTCACTTATGTGCACTTGACCAGCGCTACGCCCACGGATGGTACTCTCACTGATGCCATTACCGTTGCTGGTCCTATGGTCATGACTATCTCATAGAAGACCGGATGTTCGTTCGTACTTAGGTGCGCAACAGAGTCGACGCAAGGACGTCGTGTGGGACTTGGCTTAGAGAGGGGAGTAATAGATAAAGTGGTGTGATGGAGTGTGAGAGAGATGAATGACAATTTTTTTTTTATTATTTTTCTTGGGTTATTTTCAGCGAAAGAAAGATCGCGGGGATGAATGGGTGGTTGTTGGTGTTGTTGGTGTTGTGGTTGTTGTCTTTGTGTGTCTTGTACAGGTCTCTTGATGGGACAAGAAACTTGGCGAGCGAGCAAGCAAGCAAGCGATGAAAAAGGGCAGTGAGCGATTCACTTGACTTTTGATTGTTTTTAGAGAAAGAAGAAGATGATGACGAGAGAGTGAGAGAGAATGAGCACAGCTTTATGCTCGACCATTTTTATTGTGTGAATACATCAATCCAATTCGATTCTTGATGAATGTCTATTGTATGATCTCTGAAATGGTGACCTGAAACGACCGGTGAGAGTTCTCTTTTATGCATTCTTCTCTTCTAAGATTCAGATGGAAATTATAAGATTGGATATCAAATATTGAACATTTCTCGTCATCTACCATATACTTCCCTATTCCTGGAATCATCCCGTTCGAGTGGTGTGGGTTGAACCGTCACGTGGCTACCGACCATGAACTTCACAGACCTGGCACCACAGCTCAAACTCCCAAGGCTCAGACGTTCCAAAGACAACAGATCTCAGATCAAATCTCAGATCCATATCATTCGGCTTCATACCAGGCTTTGCGAGGGAATACTAGCCGGATAGATCCTTCCCGTGACTCGTCACTTTAACCTTATTCCCCTCGAATCTCGACCCCACTTCTGGAAACACCCACTCCCTAGCGACGAAACATTGCAAACATCACATCCATCCCACCACCATGCCTCCCAAACATCCTCAACCCGCCTCACCCCAGAAACAATTCACCATCAACCCGCCCCTCCTCAACTCCGCCAACCCATGGGCAACAACCGAAGCGGACCTCAAAGCTCTCTACGACTGCCCTTACACAGGCGCAGTCACCATCAGAACTTCTCTCTGGAAAGCCTTCAACCAACACCCATCAACCCACCAATATACCTTCTTCTCATCCACACTCGGCCACGCCACAGCAAACATCAACGTCGATCTCCCGCACGGCAAAGGCGAAGGACGCGGGGATGTCCTCCCCGACGAAACAAGCTCGCTGAACACCTTGGGGTACAGCCCAATCGCATTCGAGGAGTATGTTGCCATGCTCGTGCGCATGAGTCGCGAGAGGACATCAGCATCAGCATCAGCATCAGCGTCAAATTCAGCCTCACTACTACCGCAACAGCAAGCCAAAACGAAACATTCCGAGTCGGAGGCGCTGGATCTCACTACTACGGGTACGGCTCGTACGGGCGCTACTACCAACGCAAAGGCTAAAACGAAAACGAAAACAAAGACTAAAACTAAACCTTTCATCGTCTCCGTCACTGGCTCGGCAGAGGAGGTTGCGAAATGTTGCGAGCTCCTGCTTGAGGTCCTCAATGAGCCGGAGAAGAAGTATCCGCTTTCCGATGCGGAGGCTAAGGCAGACGCTGAGGCTGCCGATAGGAAAGGTGATGCAGTTTCGTCTGATGTTGAGCGAGACCTGGAGCTAGATCTGGATCTAGATCTCATGATGGAGATCAACCTCTCCTGTCCCAATATCCCGGATAAACCGCCTCCGGCGTATGATGGCGCCAGTCTAGCTGAGTACATCACTGCCATCGGGCTCGCGAAATCGAGGGTCCCGAAGTCGTATACTAGGGGATTGCATGTGGGGATTAAGACTCCGCCGTATACGTATCAGGGACAGTTCCAGATTCTGATTGATGCTCTTGAACGCTCGTCTTCCTCCTTATCTTCTTCTGAGCTGGATAGAGGTGAAGGAAGAGAGGGAAATGAATGTCCCATCTCATTCATCACCGCGACCAACACCCTCGGCTCCTGCCTCGTCCTCAACCAGAATCTCAACCCAGCTCTCGGTTCTGCCACCGGCGCGGGGATCGGCGGTCTAGCGGGTGATGCGCTGCATCCTATTGCGTTGGGGAATGTGAAGACGATAAGGACCTTGCTGGATGCTTCGACAAGGGAGGATGTTAGGAGGATTGCGATTATTGGCGTTGGGGGAGTGAGGGATAAAGAGGGGTTTAGCAGGATGAGAGCTGTTGGTGCGGAGGCGGTGGGTGTGGGGACTGCGTTGGGGAGGGAGGGGGTGGGTGTTTTTGAGGGGATTGCGAGGGGTTTTGAGGGTTGAGGAGGGGTGGAGAGGAGGATATGTGTGGGGGAGTTTTGGTGAGTCTGTTTGTTGATAGATAGATAGATAGGAATTCGGTGTATTGTTAGAAGGTGAGTAGAAGTGATCCACGCGCAGAGGTATGAAGAAGGGAGGGGAAAGTGAAAGACAACTCGATGTTTATGCGCTAATCCTCAATGGAAGTACCTGAGCGCATCTGCTCTGCCATCTATGCCCTTCGTTACTGCATTTCGTTCCTATCTTCACACCCTGATTTGTTCCACAGATATTCAATCCAACTTTCTTCTTTCCAAGCGAAGTCGGCAGAACTCCCTTCAGCCACTCTTCTCCAAATCGCACTTTCACTGCCATCCTTTCATTACCTCGTTCGTTCTCATGGATCGATAAACTCTCACAGTTTTCCCTTTTTGGGGGGGGGGGGGGGGGGGGGTTGTTCCAGTTGTGCTGCTCTTCCTGTCCACGGCCTTTCTTCACATACTCACATACTTTTCAGCGTAGAGCTCCAGGCATTGGGGTCAAAGGGAGTCTTGTCCTCAATTCATTGGGCCTATGATGGCCGCACGATTTACCAAATGATGCTTCTGCAAGGAACCAACCAAAGGGTACCTACCGACTTATTTACCGGATGTGGAGATGGAGAAAATTTCTGGTGCAATAGCAATACCAAATTCTCGACTTTTCGATTTTTTCGTGATTTCGTCGCTGTTTCTATATGTCTTTTTGAGTTTTGTTTTCGTAGATCTTCCTCCACGCTGTAGGCTTGGCGCAGTTGCTGGTTTGTTTCTATGGTGAGTAAGTAGTGAGCTGGATGTGAGAAATAGTTTGGAGATGGATGGAAAAGTGGGTGGGGGAGGGAGGGGATCATCAGTGACACAGGCAGGAACTTAACGCGACTTGACTGAAGGAGGAAGATGCCATTGGTGGTCGGTTTCGAAGTATTGGAAGAGAGTGATACGATACGATGTCTCCAGATGCAGAAGGTGTATGATGTAGAGATAAAGTAGTTTTGGTGTGTTCTGGGCTGGTGTCGTTTAAACCTGGCTAGGAAACTCTGGATGGGGAATGGTAGATGGACTAGCCACCATTCGATGCCAGTGCATGGAATTCATTGTTCAGCTCGTATGTATATCATGGTACTCGTCATCCTAGGACGGCATCCATTTCAAACCCACCTCCTTGCTCGCGGCGTAGTTACTCCGTGAAGTATTAATTGAGGGCCGAGCGGGGAACAAGCGAGAACAGTCTCTATCCTTCACATGATACAATACATTAGCAAAGAGAATGTTTAGATACATGAATATACTACAAGTAATTCTCTACAATTTTGATATGTTTTCGATCAATAGTTGTTGTATTGTTACGATTCTTACAGTGTAAATACAATATGTTTTAGCGCGGCCCGCCAAAAAAACTTCACCGAGCACATGCCCCTCATTTTAGCCGAGGAATTTACCCATCCAGATAAACAAACACATAGCCGATTCGATCTGAACGGCTCAGAGCAATCAATACGTATGCACTTCGCACTCCTCCTTGCATGCTGACATCACCTTTCACGCGAATTCTCATTTGGTTGGATCATTGCTGTTCAACACCTCAGCGTTTGTAAGATCACGGCTGTAAGCTGAGCTGCAGGCCAGATGGAGATGCTTGCTATTTGAGCTTGGATGACAAAGGATAAAGGAACTGGTATAGCCTATTATCTGGGTAGCACAAACTAAATTTAATCTTAGCTGGGTATATATTAACGACTATCCATATTCTAAAAAGCCTTGGGGTGTAGGAATAGCAACCTCAGTCAAGTCGTGACGAGTTCAAAATCGCCTGAATCACATCCTCGAATTCTGTCAGAATGGTCCAACTATCCTACCTCATTGTCCTTCCACTGCCCCTATTCGGGCAAGTCCCCTTCCAATATTACTCTTACCCAGTCAATCCAATACAATACGACTCAATCCGTACCGCTAACCTCCCTCTTCCCCATAGTTCCCTAGCCCTCAGTCTCCCCGCCGAGCCATTCGCGCAATCACCGCCCGCAGCTGACGCCGAAGCAATAACAACAACAAGCTGCACTACTTTCCTCACAACTGCAACTGAAGTCCGCACGCGCATTGACATCGTCACTGGTACTACAGAGATTCTGCACTTGTATCCGTACTATGCGTACTCGACGAGTACGAGTACTATTACGACGACTGAGACGCGGACGAGGCCAAGCACGGACATGGAGACAAAGTCGGTGGAGCGGTGTATTATTAGGGGAGGCATTGTTTGAAGAGATGAAGAAGAAGTTGGGGAAGCGGGGGACATTGTAGATCTTCAAGTCAATCTCTCTATCTCTAAGTCCGCGGATTATCCTTCCATCGTCTGCTTTAAAGGACAAAGAAATAAGCCGAAGAGTCAGGCACTCAAATATCATTTGGACATGCCTATCATTTGGACATGCCTATCATTTGGACATGCCTGTCTTCTATACTTGAGGACAAGACTTAATTTTCATTTCTGAGAGCCGCCATCTTGTGCTTCCTCGTGACTGAACTCTTGACTAATATACTTTGGAATTTTTGATTCTATGTGCGTCCACAATCCTCAATTATTCTTCAGGGCTTAGCGACTGGAATTGACACCTAAAACTACCCAGTAGGCATTAGAGATATCTGGATCTATGGAATGCTCACGATTCCCAGTTTGGTGGTGCAGTTGAATTCGTGGTACCCTTCTCCAGAGGAGTGGGAAGTATGTACGTTCCACTCGCAAGGGCATCTGAAATCGTTGCATTCGGTCTCGTCCATTTCCTTCCGTCCTTCAGTTCCTCGCGAATCAATGTACTGACCATTGTGCCGAACAGAAGTTCACCGCTGGGATTCAAGTGCGTCCGGTCACCTGGGCTCAGGTTGTATGTGTCTGAACGTGGGAACCCGATGGAGTTGATGTAATCTGTCGAAACGCGGTTGAGGTCGATGTATGGGACATGGAGTTTCTTGGCAACCGATATAGTTGCGGCGGCTTGGTCGGCAAGGTTCTCTATGATTTTGCCTGTTGTTGAATTGAAAGTGCGTCGAGTCAGAGAAGTTGTCATTATCTATACATCTGTTAGGAACTTCCGACACATGATTTAGTGTAAACCTACGGGAGTTCCTCCAGCCGCAAGGATTTCTTTGGCAAAAGTTTCGAGATTGTTCGTGAACAACTCAATGCTGATGTTAGCCGCCGCCTTTTGATCATTGTGGCCGAACTGAACCATTATTAGCTATGTCGCCACCAAGATAACACTTGCGATCTTTACCTGTATCGTAACGAATGGCAAGTATCCTAACTCGCTCGCTCTGGCTACACTGGCGACTGTGGTGTCCCATAAACCTTGGGCTCGAAAAGATACAGTTGTTGCGCCGCTCTTGCCATAGTTTATGCCAAAGGAATCCTTGGTGATTGTGGTGATAAATCCATTACCCCAGCCTCCACCAATCGCTGTTGTTGAGTCTCCGGCTAGGAAGAAAGCTGCATTTCTCTGTCTTTGTGGTGTCGGACTTGCCACGGCCTGGCCGACAAGAAGAAAACAGAAGGGCGAGAAGAGTCTCATAGTGAAGGGAATTGACCTTGTAAAAGTGTTGACGAAAGACGAATTCTCGGGGATGGAGTAAATATATGAACACCTATCACGATCGCAATGGCAAATCGTTCGGGACAATTCCAATCTATAGAAAAAGTATATCATATGACACTGGCAGAATATCGCCGTGCAGCACTTGCAATCTCCATCACCCCCGCCTCCCTCATTGCCGATCGTTGCTCCATCGTCTTATAAACTGATCTGAAAATCCTTCATTTGGAAGGAGAATGACGAGCTTAAGCATATCCTAGTACCCCGCAATTGTACTATTCTACCGATATGTTGTTGTGGCGGCGAATCTATTGTATTCGGAAGAATTTCCTCGCGCGTCGGCAGATATTGAAGCGAGATGAGAGCCAAGCAATTCTAGGGTTCTGTGGAAGCCCACCCCCAGGGAAACTTTCTGGTGTGGAGCCCCCGCAGAATCTCTTTGCCAAATTATTAATAAGGAATAATATTCCCATGGGTGAGTAGGTTATGGACAGGCTTTCACACTTGGTCCCTGGACTAAGTTGAGCCGAGCCACCTACGAAACTTTTTATTTGCGTCGCGGTTGTGAGGTCTTTCCTCGCTTATCGACTGAGAAAGTCAATACGGTTTGGTTGTCGCACTTCTGTAAATGTGCAATTTCACCTGGAGGCAACCAATTGAGTCTGAATATTGTAGCTCTATACAAATGCTCCTTGACGTAACAGTGTAGCCGTTCAAAAAAAAAGGATATTTGAGTAAGGGGTACGTATAATTTTAAAAAATAAGAAGCAATTCATCAATGCGCAGCCAAGGGACCCACAGCAACAACACCTACCTATTGGTCAATTCGAGTCGCCATGGGTGATACGTCTGGGCTCTGGTGCTATGCCTCGTGTATATCGAAAGTCGTGTATATCGAAAGTACCGTGAGCTGGATAGGCATTTGGATCGGATCCACCGATGTCGTTGACGACTCTTCTGTCGTAATGCCAAAATTTCTGGCAGGTACATACCGAATCCTTCTTCTTTTGTGCTTTACTAGTCTCTATCTGCTGTTCATGTACTAACACGCCGGACTTGGCTCTAACAGAGCAATTCAGAATAGCAATGTGGTTATTTCAGGCACCTTCCTGGCCGAGCATCTTGACACCCCACAATATTTCAGGGAGCACGAATTTACATGGGCTACTTAGGGAAACCTTGAATGTCCCATTGAACTTAATCTGAGGATGCAAATGGAATATATTCAGATAGGTTATTGTAGAGCCAACGTAACGGCAGTAATTCAAAGGTTGGCCCCCTTTCCGTCCAATTGATTTCCCTGTTCATCAAACCGAATCCTCTCGCCAGTTAACAACGCCTCCTGTAAGGCCCACCCAATCTTCAGACTCATCAAACCGAGCTCTAACTTCAACGGCACTGGGGTGTTTTCCACGATAGAAGCAATGAACTCATTTGCCTCCGTCGCGAACGCTTCCTCAAACCGTTCCCAATACTCGGGCTGCACCTCATGTCCAATCCCCCCTTGGCCGGCAATTGTCACGTTATTCAGTCTCGGCACCAAATTAACCATCACCTTCCCTTTGGTACCAACAACCTCCGTACAAACATCATGCCCATGCGCCATTGTCCTAGAACAATAAAAGTACGCTATCTTACCACCGTAATACTCCACAACACCAACGCCATTATCAACATCATCCAGGGCTTTCAACTCAGGATGATGGGAAATAGTGCCCACTGCCCAAACAGCCTTCGGCTTCACATCACCGAAATAGTAGAGTGACAAGTCGATGTCGTGGATGCAGCAGTCCACAAACATGCCTCCATTTCTGGCTGCATAACGCACAAAGAAGCCGGTGTCATCGACCAGATCGCATGTCTGTGAGCGTATGATGAATGGCTCGCCGATGGTGTCGGCGACAATTTTGGCCTTGGCGTTCTGGTAGCTGGCGTCAAAACGTCGGGAGAAACCTGCCATGACTTTAAGGTGCTGGTTGTTGTTTGCGATTTCAACTACGCGCTTGGCCTACATGTACTTGTTGCAACGTGAGCTTCGAGCCTAGATGTTCGTCCGGGCCTGCGCCGACTCAACACCTCTACGTGGTGCAGGCTATCAACTCCTTTGGGAGGCTAAGATTAAGTCAAACGACCTGCTGTCCTCTTACATACAGCATACCGACGATCGAGATAATACAGATACGAAACACAACCTCCGAAGAGCGCTTCGCAAAAGGTCGACCTTAGAATAAGGCTATAATAAGGAGGAGTAGGAATAGGTTCTATCCTACGGTTACAGTAAGAGGGGAGGAAAGGCAGGACTTAGAGGAGGGTTCCCGGATACAATCGCGTAACAAGGAGTTACTTCTGTTTCTGCTACTAATAACTCGTGTAATAAGCGTACCTCTCCGCCTCGTTTGTATCGATTAAGAGAGGTTCGTTTGTATTCTACGGAAGAGATTAAGGGAGTATAAGTAGCCTGTTAAGTCAAGGAGAGTTATACGAGTTAAGTAGTTAGAGGTATCGTGGACTCTAGCGAAAGATTATACGTATTATAGTTTTAAGAGAGTCCTCCCCTTCGGAGAGCGCAGTTACTAAGTATAAGGATCGGCTAGCTAAGGTTTTTGAAGTTTTTCCTCAGTCGTGGAGTATAAACCACGAGTAATATATCTATCGGAAGGTATACCTAAATAGGGGTCGATCTTATCGATATACGAGGATAGCACGCTATAGCAAGGGAGTAAAGGCTACAAACCTGTTTACCGTAAAGTCGCATTCAAGAGTAGTAGACTGTCTTACATAGCAGCGAAAGCTAGTTAAAAAGGACAATAAACTGGAATTACACACAGATGTTCGTCCGATTTGGATGTAGAGTGAGCTACGTACCTCATCCGTGTTCGTGCTCAATGGCTTCTCACACAGCACATTCAATCCCTCTCAATCGCCTCAATCGTCTGACTTGCGTGCACATCCATGCTGGTGCTGACCCACACAGCCTGCAATCCTGGATGGGATATCATGTCAGAAGAAGAATCATAGACGTGGATTCCCCAGTTGGCGTATTCAGATTGTGCCCAGGTGAGCTCGTCGGGTGAGGAGCTGCAGACTGCCACAACATGGGCGTTGGGGACGCGATTGAGAACCGTGTGGACGTGTCGCTTGCTCATGCGGCCAAGACCAGCGACGGCGATGGAGATTTTGGTATTTTGTTTTGAGAGGGACATTTTGGGGGGTTTAGGGTGGAGAGCCGCTGAAGATTGAAGAGTGTAAGTGGAAAGAAGGTGCTTTGTGGATGTGAGGTTCGACGTCTTATATGTCAGTTCCATTAGACGGCTCCCAATGGGGTAATTTACCAATGAACTTCGTGCAACTCTTGTGCCTCGGAAATACGCCTTGTTTATGCCAACACTTGGTTCTTTCCTGTTGTTCCATCTTTCCAGGTCTTTCTGAGAGTAGAGTGGGGTAAGTGTAATCGGTTCAAGAATCGATTGAAAGTAAGAAACTTGTGTTAAGGGTTCCAAAAAAAGCATGTGCTGGTGTGCTTCCCACTCCGATCTTTTAGCGATTCTGGCAGCACTGTGGCGCAATGTGCTTTTCCTGAAAAGATCGTAAGAGGAGATAATTCTTGAAACAGCTTTGTCAATATATTGATTTTTGATAAGTACTCCAGTTCTACCAGAGATCTAATAGCTTGGGTTCTGGGGTAGTCCTCCCCGAGAAAGGTTCCGGGGCAAATTTCTATTCCTGGTAGCCGAGCGATCAAAGAGCAGTATCGTGGGCGTCGCCTCGATCTACCCCGCACTGTGCAGACGAACAAGAGAGGAAGTTTAGCGATTCAACCCACATCATGTCTTCAAGCCACCCTCGTATCCCCTAAGCTACCGTTCACACACTGTTGTGCTGTAGGGCGAGTAAATTTACTAAGCGAGGCGCTAAGCTTTGGGGGGGTTTTCCGTACTACAGGGTAGTTGCGCTTGCTAGCTTTAGCCTAGGTAAAACGTGTGTTTTGAACAGCAGCTTACCAACAAAAAACACGCTCTACAGGGAGTGGGTATCCTACAGAAATGCGCTGTAATTAAGCGAGGAACGCCTGAGAAAACGCCCGTGCCTTGTACTTAGGATAAGGTAAGCAACCTCAGTGCCTCGCTTGAATGTTGCTTCCTGCAAGAAAGTGTGTGTCGGTAGCTGAGGGGATAGAGGACTTGCGGTGTAGTTACAGCTTTATCCTGACACGTTGATCACGACCTACAGGTAGCTCAAGGACAGAAACACGTCGCTCGTGTCAAAAATTGGCAGCCAGCTCTCCGAGGTCGACTCAAGTGCATGATATCCAACATCACAACCGTCTCTCTTTGCCCAATTTGGTTTACTGCGAGCTTCATGGAAATAATTCCACCATGTTCAACATCACGCTCATACTCGCCAGTATTATCTCTAAGATTCTATCAATTCCTGGAAGACTGCGCCCTATACCCATCAATATCTTTTATCTGTCTCATCAACAAACGGTAATGCGCGACAGACAGGACGGCTCATGCCCTGTATCCCCTTGCCTCTCGACGACTGAGCGAACCATCTTCGGCAATGGAGTATGTATGGTCTACGGCTACCCCTCAACTGGCGGGGTCCTCAACAAAGGAGCTTCTCTCCTCGATATGCTCTTCCTATCGTTACCCCGCACTCATACCTCGCAGCGCTCACCTAGCGCCGAAGAAGAAGATAGATTCTGCAACCTCATGCGACGGACGGGTGCGAAGTGGTGGCCGAGTAGAGATTATGAGCTTGAAGTGAAGTTAGGCATTAGGGATATCACTGACAGAGTGGCCGATCAGTCAGCCGGCTTTTAAGCCAATCAGTCAGCTGGGAAAAAAACGTCAGCTAGTCAGCTCGAATATATTTATAAGCTAGTCAGCTAGAATATAGCTAGTCCTTATATTTTTGACGATTTTAGAGTAAGGTTCTGAGCACTTAATATAGCGATTTAATACTATACTTACTAAAAATAGAAGTCTCGGAGCGGGAAAACTATTTCCGATTAGCTAGATTAGGCGGTCTAGTATAGCAGAATAATTAAAGCTTATCTTAAGGCTATCTATATTATATAGTAACTCTCTAATTCTATCTGAATTAACGCTGTAGGGTTAGGGTTTGAGGTTTGGGTTATATTTGTTTCTAACTACGCTAGCTTACGACGAGTGTTTTTATCTCTCTCTAATAGTCTTGAAATACAGAAGGACTATACTAATAATACAGAGGGTAAGAGCCTGAAGGTGTCAGGGGTACAGAAGGTAGAGTACTAAGACAGAAGGAGATAATACAGGGTAAGTGGAGTGTGTACCAAAGGGTAAGTAAAGTGTGTATCAGAGGGTAGGCGTAGTGTGTACCAAAGGGTAGGTAGAGTGTGTGCCAAAGGGTAGGTAAAGTGTGTACCAAGGGGTAGGTGTAGTGTGAGTCGCAGGGTAGGTAGAGTGTGTACCATAGGGTAGGCAGAGTATGTACCACAGGGTAGGTAGAGTGTGTACCACAGGGTAGGTGTAGTGTGAGTCGCAGGGTAGGTAGAGTGCGTACCATAGGGTAGGTAGAGTGTGTACCCCAGGGTAGGTGAAGTGTGAGTTACTTAGAGTAAGTGGAGTGTGAGTCGCAGGGTAGGTGAAGTGTGTATTACAAGGTAGGTGTAGTGTGTACCATAGGGTAGGTAAAGTGTGTACCAAAGGGTAGGTAAAGTGTAAGTCGCAGGGTAGGTGAAGTGTGTATTGCAAGGTAGGTAAGGTGTGTACCATAGGGTAGGTAAGGTGTGTACCAAAGGGTAGGTAGAGTGTGAGTCGCAGGGTCGGTAGAGTGTGTACTATAGGGTAGATAGAGTATGTATCACAGGGTAGGTGAAGTGTGAGTTACTTAGGGTAGGTGAAGTGTGTGCCGTAGGGTAGGTGTCGTGTGTGCCGTAGGGTAGGTGTAGTGTGTGTTATAGGGTAGGTGTAGTGTGTGCTGTAGGGTAGGTATAGCGTGTGTTATAAGCTACCTACGTGCTAGAATCGAGGTTGCAGCGATTCCTCGAGCCTGAGTTAGGGTGCTAGCGATATACCCGTCTAACCACTTAGCCCTAGAGTGCCCTAATAGGCCCTGTAGGGCCTTATAGGTCTTCGCTGTTTCGGCTTCCATTAGGCCTCCTGCCGAGAAGATCAGGGGGTGAAATACAGGGCCTAAGTCGCTGTATTTAAGCCGTTTAGCGTTTGCTGCCTCTGATAGCGTAGCATAGGCTTCTTCGCGTGCTGAATCCTTGTTGATTGCTACTATTTGAACGTCGTAATAGTGCCTAGAAGTACCTATAAGCACTGAAAAATCCGGTCGTTGGCTGTTTTCTAGGGCTATAGGCGTTCTAGCTGGCGTAGGCTCCGATTCCACTTTAAGGTCTTCCCGGCTAGAAAGGGTAGTAATAAATGCACGGGTAACCTGGTTATGGCGTATAATCCAGCGTCGTTCAGCACCTCTACAGGTGTCTTCGTGGCCTATTTGAGGGTAGGCTCCACAGGCGGTACAGGGCGAAATAGGGGGCTTTACAGGGAGTAAGAGCCTAGTCCGTAGTGCTTCGGTAACTGTAGAATCCGCTAAAAGGTGGTGTTTTTGCGTGGGCAGGGTTCTAAGCCAGTATCGTCCGAGGTAGCTAGCGTTCTCAAGCTTCGATTTTAGCGCTTGTTTTGATAGGGTAGGTAGAATCTTCTCTTCTAGGTCTTGGTTAACGCTAGAGAAGACCTCTTAGGCTGTCGGTACAGGGCGTCCAGGGGGTTCCGGGTAGAGATTAGGGCATATAGCCACTAGAATCGATCGAGAGGCTTCCTTAGCTGCCCTATAGAGCCCTGGGGCTAATAAGGCGTGTATAGGGAGCCCTAAGCCTCCCTCTCTCACTGGAAGAGAGAGTAAAGCCTGGCGAATTAGGGTAGTCTTCTCCCCTGGCTCCCTAGCGATTAGGGCTTGTACAGCGTACTTGATTCGTAAGTCCGCTAACCTCCAGAGGTCTAGTAGGTCTTCCGAGTACAATTGGCGCTGTAAGTGTCGTAGGAGTAGGTGTATACTACCCCGTAAGAGTAGGGTAGCGTGTTGTTTAGGGAGGTCTCGTAGGGTATATAGCGCTGTAGCGAGAGTGTCGATTTTCCCCTGGAGAAACGTTCGGCGGTGTGCTACAGGGCCTATAAAGGTCCCTAAGGCCTTAAGTCCAGTGGTTTGTAACTGGGAAATAGGGCTTTCGGTGCTCTTTTGGCGGTTAAGAGCTACTGGAGAGTCCCTGAAGGCTTCTATAACTACAGGGAGTAGTGCTGTAGTTTCAGGGCTAAGGATATAGATATCGTCCAAATAAGCTATAATTGTAGCCTTCGGTAGGGTCTTTTGGAGGTGCTCTAGCAGGGGGCGGATCGCTAGAGAGAATAAGAGGGGGGCAATAGGGTCTCCTTGGCGTACTCCTTCAGCGCTTGCTAGCGTGTGGCCTTCGTTTGTTACTAGCACTGAAGGCTGGTTATAGGCCTATTTAGCGGTCCGATAGAGAGTAGGGGCGTATTTAGCGACTGCAGCTGCTATTGAGGTTCGTCCGATTCGGTTATAAGCGTTGATAAGGTCTAAGGAGGCGATTTGCTGAGTTTTTAGGGTATTTGGGCCGGTAATAGCGTCGTCAAGGAGGAAGATTATAGGCTCTACACCACCTGGGGTGCTAACGCCTAATTGGCAGGGTAGAAGCATAGACGGCTTGAAGGAGCTGATAAGGATCGCTTTTAGGGCTACCTTATAAATAAGGTCCCCTATAGCGATCGGTCGCACACCTCCGTCAGGCTTCTGAAGGCCTATAAGTCGGGAAGCACATAGGAGGTCGACCCCTGGAGCTGTACCCTGTCGAATCATATTCGCTAGGTGTGTAAGCGCTATAGTTACAGGGGAGTTTTCCGAATTTAGCGCTATATCAAGTAGCGGGCGGGTCCAGCCGCTGAGGCCAGGGGCTTTCTCTCTATTAATCGATCGAATAGCCTGTCGTATCGTTTCAGGGGTGATATTTTGCCCCGGGGAGGGGTTAGCGTTACTGAAGGGGTTATTATGCCCTATAGGGTGCTTCGAGTATAGCGTATTTAGCGTCTCTGGAGTGCTAGGAGCTAGAGGCGTAGGGTCGATTAGGGCTCTAGTGTTACGAATCCCTTAGCGCTACGGTTGGCACCCAGATGCTGATAGTACCATCAGTGGTACTATGGGGGCATTGGTACCGACGAAGGAACAGTGCTATCAATAGGGTAGTACCGACCAGGGAATGATACAGGACAGCGAGTGGTACCGTTGTACACTCACGCTCGGTAGTAATGGTTACCTAGATCACGGTGGACGATAGGTCACGTGATGGATCCCTGGATCCCTGGATCCCTTTGTGGGGGAACGGATCCAAGGATCCAAGGATCCAGTATCTCAAGGATCCAGTATCTCAAGGGATCCAAGGAGAACGAAGGTTCTATATAAGACTGGCATGTCTGCCATTAGATAGGAGCTTCGTGCTCAACTTCAAATAGTATTCTGATACTTAGTAACTGTCTTCCCGTCTACGTGATACACCTACCTCTCGATCATCAGAGATCAACTGCAGCCTTCTGTATTTACAGCGAGTAAATACCGGACCGTTACACTTTGAGCACCTTCTCGTCAGAGGTACCGACTCACGAAGACAACATGTCCTCCGTCAAAGGATCGTCGAACGACCACTCGGCTCCCGCCAAGGCCTTCGACCCAAAGAACATACCCAAGATCGCCGCCCCGGATCTCTACAACGGAGACCGATCCAAGCTCAGAGCATACCTCACGCAGGTTAAGCTCTATACGGGCTTCAACGGTCACCAGTTCGCCACGGAGACTGACAAAGTCCTTTGGGCTTCGTCCTTTCTCCGGGGATCTGCCTTCAACTGGATCGAGACCTTCCTCTCGGACTACATTCAGAACCGAACCAAGGATGGGAGAGTCTCCACGGCAATGACCAAGGAATCCCAGAAGATCTTTATGACCTTCGAAGGTTTCGAGCATAGGATCAACCGCGTCTTCGGCGACATTGATCAGAACCGTACCGCCGAACGGAACATCCAGAACCTAAAGCAGGTCGGGTCAGCGACCACGTATACTGCCGCCTTCCAGCAATTCGCGAATCAGACCAGCTGGAATGACGACGCCCTTCGGGCACAGTACTACAAGGGGTTGAAAGACGGAGTGAAAGATGAGATAGCAAGATCGGACGCGCCTACCGACTTGCAAGAACTCATCGAGATGGCTGTCAAGATCGACAACCGAAATTACGAGAGGACACTCGAGAAAAAAGGCCAATACCGCTCCGGAACGCACATGCACCAAGGAAGAGGGGGCAATAACAAGAAACCATTCTACCCTCGGGAAATGGAACTCGATGCGACGTTCCGGAAGCCAAGTCATCAAGGAAAGCCACGCAGCGGCGGGCTATCTAAGAAAGTCATGAGCGAGCGACGAGAGAAGAAGCTATGCTTCGAGTGTGGCCTCCCTGGTCACATGGCCAGCTCTCATCGACAAAAGAAGTCGTGGACAGACAAGAAACATGCCAACGCAATGGGACGTGGCTCTTACAATGAACCAACACGACAACTCGCCGCGACGTATCGACACATGACTACAGACGAGCTCGAGGAGAATCACATCCACACCCAGTTGGGCGATTCTGACGACAGCGAGCGAGATTCCGCGAGCGTCGTGGATCAGCTCGAGCAAACCGTCGTCAGCACGCCCCCTGAGGACTATGTGTATCGAGACAACGACAGCTCTGGGCCAGACGACGACACAGAGCTAATGCCAAGTGACAGCGAGGAGGAGGCCCAGGAACCTGAGTGGACTCCAGAACCGGGGCCACCTCAACCTGAACTCTCAGGACCAGGAGTGGGTGAAACTTGGGAAGTTACCCAAAGAGAAGAGAGCCTGTATCAGGTTAGCTGTAACACTCGCCACTGGACCAATGTAGCCACCGGGGTTACTTATCAGGAACCAGGCCTTGTCGGCTTGGGGGGTCCACCGTGGGGGGCAAGGTAC